ATAATAATAATAATAATAATAATAATAATAATAATAATAACTCTTATTATATTTTTATTTTTGTTCGACAGAGACATCGGCTATTAACTAAGCTAAGAATAGCAACCCTTTCATCTAATTTCATAAATTATGTTTTGTTTGCTAGAATTTTTTTAAAAAAAATTGTTTCGTGTGAGCACAATTATTGCATCTTCTTTATCAATGTAAAAGTTGTCTTAGACAATGATTAAAACCCCGAAGCCTGCAATTAGATTGTTCACTAGATGCTATAGTTCTCCTCATTCAAGAAATATTTACAAGAGGTAAAATGTATGTGATAGTTCGGACATTCATGCCGTCACGATGTCGCATGTAACGTCAAAATATGCACATATATATGTTATGAAAATAATTAGAATATGTAATAAATATGTAAATTCGGATATAATATGTAATATTAAATTATACTAATTATAAAACGTATGTATATAATACAAAATTACATTCATAAAAAATGCCCTAAACAAATTTTTAAAATAATACAAACGTTTTAAAAATAGTTTGGAGAGCACAAGTCGATGCGCACTTTGCAACATACAACTTTCCCAACAGTACTAAAAGCTTCATCTATTGCTATCCAAGACCGTAGTTTAATAACCAACGGCAAAGCAAAAAAAGCAATGATAGAAACTGCCGATATCTACGACTAGCAAACAATCACTGCAGCGTGCAGCATTCTCATCAAAGTGTTACACGTTGGCGCTCGCCAAAGTTTGTCGAAAATTAGGGGTTGAAGATCACGAAACGTGGCGTCAGTGCTTCTTTCCATTCCTAAAGGTAAAAATGGTCTCAGACGCTAACGCGCCCTTCCCGCCAGTGAGATAACTGAAGCAGGCGCTCGGACTGTGAGAATATCCGACCGCGTCCTCACGTATCGCATCTTCGGCGATCTACTATACACTGGTTACAAATAAATATTTTTTTCATTAAATCAACATACTATATTAAAAATTGAAGTTAAAAATGTCATAAAAGCAACAAAAAACACACAAACAAACAACAACAAACTACCGTTATTTGAACTATCAGAAGTAAATTTGGGTGTAGTATGATTCTTTAAGGATGTTATGCACATTTCCAATAATTCAACATGCAATAAATTCAAAAGTAATACAATTAAAAGAAAATAAAAATTGTTCTGATCCATTATTTGGTTCACAATTATTACAGTGAAAAGAACAAAAATATGAAGGTCAATTTTAGTCACGATCTTGCAACATGATAAGGAATTGTCTACACCCACATAATTCGGCAAACATGAAAAGTTATTCATATTCTCATATTTCCTCGTTATAAAAGATTAGGTATAACTTGCCCATCGGTGATATATCAGCAAATATTAACTTTGCATATTCCATTGATCAATATGCCCTACAGTAAAACCTGGTTCAAAAAATAACTGCGTAAGTTGTCCACTTCTTCTATCTAGTTCATGGTGCACCGAATACCTCAGAATAAGTGCACAAAGTCAGTGGACAGATAAAGGTCAGCAGTGATAAAAGATGCTGACCGGGAATCGTCGCCATTTTTGCCCGTCTTCTATTACCGTTCCAACCTCCTATGTTTTAAAAGTGAAGAGTGGATTGAACCATCGCATAGCAGAACTAGTGTATTCTTGTAAGCATGAACACCGAATGCCCACGAATGAAAAAGCGTAGTATTTACAATCTTTCTTTAATTTCATAAATTATTTCTAAGGCGCTGTGACGCTTCGCTACGCGTGTCCAATGACGGCTCCAGCCTTCAACCTACGCGATTAGAATAAACATCCTTGAACTCGCAGTCTCGTCTTCAAGATTTACATAAAACATCGTGTATATTGAAAACACGCCACCAATAGAGCAAGTTTTTATTCTCGGCAGCACTTTAAACAATATTTTCGTCTTCAGATTAATGCCCATTGTTGTGCTGTTCCCCAACCACAGTGTGGTTGGCAAAACGACTAATGAAAACTTACAATTGTTAGTTTGGCAACATTTCGACAAACGAAGTATGCACGCCGCGTGGATTCCCCTTAAGTGAACTTCAACCGTTGTTACACGCGACAGAGGTCACGTAGGCCACAGTGGCAAAGCCACCCTCTTCCATGGCCGCTGACCCTACGATGAATCACCCTGATGAATGAGGCACCCTGACGAAAGCACTACTATAGACAGAGGTCACGTAGGCCACAGTGACGGAGCCACCCCTTTCCATGACCGCTGACCCCACGATGAATCACCCTGACGAATGAGGCACCCTGACGAAAGTACTACTATAGTCAGAGGTCACGTAGGCCACAGTGACGGAACCACTCCGCGAGGGACCATGACTAAACTACCCCCCGGCCCCGACGCAGAGTAAGCACGTAGGCACTAGGTATTAAAGCACTGCGCCCAGGTCTAAGCAGGTCAGATCAGTCACTGTCTCGCTGCCGTGCGGTTGCTCGTCACGAGGTGGCCGAGGGCATTCTCGCTTGTAACATGTAACTGTTTTTCAGTATTTATTAAATATTTCTTTACGAATCGAAGTACGTTATTTCTGAGGAAACCTTCTCCGATCCGTAACACCGTTTGCAAAAATTAACTTGAATACAAAGAGACGGGTTCAGCCCTGGGCTGCGTCAAATAACGAGTCCCTCTCCCTGCGAGGTACAATACACATGATAATTCACTTCGTATGGGTCGCCACTTTTTCAGGCGGGGGAGGCAAAAAACGTTACAGGAGGAGTCACCGTAGAGCTTCACATTAAGTGGTTAACAGAAATGACGGAAAACGAATCAGGATTCCTGCGTTACATTTTATTGCGGCTTCAAGTTCTTCTCTACATCTCTCAGCCTGAAATCGTAGCCACCATCTCACATGGAGATGGGCATGTTCTTACATATACCTACCCTAGTGCCAAACTCTACAATTCACTGATGAAAACTACTTTCCTTGCCCCCTTCTACCTGTCCTCTGCACTTACGTTCCTTTTGTGAAATACCTTGTGCAAGGGCATTGGCTCCAAATTCTTGTTACATTCCAAACAATAGTAGTTTACTTAACAGGGGCGGGAATCACAAGGACCGGTGTTGCGTACACTATTTTTTAACACGCCGTGAGCGAAACGCAATACGTGAAGTAAAGGACTATAAATTAAATATCAAATAACTAGAAATACCTAACTTGTACAACAGCAAATGGATTCCAGTCAGTGTGTAACACTATTGTTTGTAAATAATAAACAAAGCCGTCACGACAGAAGACAACGGCGCATCATTACAGATCTTTCGCACACGCTTCGCGATATTTCGCACACGCAATGCTATGTTTCGCACACGCTTCGGGATGTTTCGCACACTGTGAAAAAATTATCTTTTTCGCACACGGAAAACAAGCACGAGAAGTCTGCAAAGCCACAAATATGAAGTACAACACGCTTTGCAAGCAAGAAAGAGAGGATACTGACATTCGCAATCAGAACCGTTAAAAATATAATTATCTCATAAAAATGCGCATCCAAGAGCGTAATAACTTGCATACAATATTGGAAACCTCTATTGCAGTACATTGCAAAATGTTGTGAGTCTTCGAGGCCTGTATGGGTTTCCTCCTAACAATTGAAAAAAAGGGAAAATATTTCTGCTTTTCTTCTCAGAAAGAAGCTTTGAACATTTAAAACATTGTAAACAAAAGGCTACTACATTGAATACACAAAAAAACCTTCAAAAGCTATTCATCGAAAATTATACATTGGATACCGAGGAGCAAAATCCGTTGTACCATATGTAAAACCACTGTCTTCTTCATTGCGAATATTTCCCTTGCTCAGCATACACTCTTCATAATTTGGAGGTGCTGCAACAAAAATATGAATCTAATTAACACACTGTTTTTAATTGGATGGTTTCAAAATTGCTTAAAAATGTTATTTTATTGACAACTAAACAATTTTAATATTAATATTATGCTTATTACTGTAACAAATTTATGAAGGAAATCTATACATATAATACATACATCTATACATATAATCTATATAAAACTCAATACATGTCTGTAGCATTAATATAAGAAAAAGTACTACCTTATAAATTTATGCATTTTCGAAAGGATTGTCACAAGTACAGGGGAGAGTTTGGAGGAAAACAAATCTATAAAATGTTGGTTGCTTTAGATGGCGAAGAGAAAGCAATTGGTGGCCATGGTCTAGCAGTATTAATAAGAGATAAGATTGAGAATGATGGTAATTTATAAGGCTAAGATCACATAGGATGTGCAACAACAGACACCAGACAATCAATCATGTGGGGCGAAATCTACCGAATGTCTTCAATTCAGGCAAAAGAAGTAAAATTTGGATAGGTCAGTACGTTATCATTGGAAATTGTTATTGTAGTTAATGTCTTTAATTTTGTAGTTGTTTAATATTGTTAATTTTGTAATATCTTTAATTATGTAGTTGTAGAATGACCCCGAAAAAAATTCAAAATTTTAAAGTTATCGAAAATTTAGACCGTGAAAATCGGACCAATGTCACCTTTATAAGTGCATTCTACTCTATTCTTAAAAGAAATTTAAAGAACAAATTTGGAGCGATTTTTGAATAAAATTCCAAAATGTCCGGGAGGCTACATGTAAGTTACACGCAAATTTTAAAGGACTTTTTGCAAAAAATCTCAAAGATTCGACTCGAGCCAGATCGACACGGGTTTCTTCAATTTGAAAAAAATCCTACGCATGGTTTAGGAGCTAGTAGTGTTCACAGACGGACGGACGAACAGACGGACGTTTTGAAGAAAAAACAAACAAAAAACAAAACAAAACAAACAACAACAACAAGACTTTTTCGCTATCGTGGAACCCCAAAACGTGTATTTCCGTCGAAATCGATTTTCCGCAGCATTACATAACTTTCCCATACCATCTTATTACTCCGCATATACGTACCTATACCGTTAAGTAAAAATTAGCAATCGAATACATATTAAATTATATTATACATATTAAATTTCTAGAACTTTTTGATGCTAGTATATAGTAAATAATATAACCAATTACAATTATAATTCAATATAAACTTCAATACATAAAGTTGAATATAAACACCAGAAAAGATGACAAATTACAATTCTGGTTCTTAAATACGAAGTTGTCTTGAAAAAACGAAAAAATAGAGTGAAATTTAAAATGACAACTTTTGAAAATCAAAACCAGTACCTCTTCATTTTGTTTCACCATATAATCTCCCCTAGATTTTAAGTCACAAAACTTGAAAATCGTTTATAAGTTTTTCTGGGAAATTGAAATTTTTGTATTTTACTGGTTTGTTTACCTTCTAATGCTCTTTTAGCTTCTAAAGTCCATATTTGATTCAGGAACTCTTTAAAGACATTACAAATAGTACTAGTATTCAACTAAAAGTATCAAAAATGAACTTAAAATTACAGAAAAACTGAGTTTGAAGTTAACTTTGCAACCTAGTCTTCAAAAAAAACCCTATTCTAGTCCAAAAAAGGGATATTTTCACTTCCAAGTGTCTGATTTAAAAGAAACTTGAAAAAAAAAAAAATTTTTTTCCTGAATCGAAACAGTGTTCAAACAGTTTTAATAATTTAGACGCAGGGAAATTGTGCGTGATTGGCAAGGATTGACTGACTCATACGATACTTCAGATTATTGGTCTTTCTGTAAGTGTGCTGAGTAAGCAATATTTTTTCATTTACATTGAATTGTGGGTGATCTGGGCTGTCCGGGTGACCAGCCCTGAGGAAGACCACGACAGGATGGTCAAAACGTCGGCAACTCAGCCTTCGACGCGGCGTCACCCGGACAGCCCAGATCACCCACATGACTCTGGTCGCGGAAGCCTACGACTTCATTTACATTGAATTGCTTTAATTGATAATGACTGTTCGACTTGAATGAAACTGTAAAAGCTATGCATCATAGCAAATTGTTTTAAATTTTTGAAAGTTACACAAGTAAAGAAATAAAACAATGAGTCATTGGAATTAGCTAGTAGATAACCACATAACCATACATTATATTTGATGTACAATTTCAAGTAAATCATTATTAAAATATTTTTATTTACATAACAATGATCGTCTCTCTGAGAAGGTATGAGAAAGAAAGACTGGGCCATATAGCTAGTATGAAATACATACCCAATATTTTAATGGAACATCAAGTTATAGAATAGTGTGTTAATATTTGTTTTTACTTTCAATATCCGAGCTCTGGAGAAAATTTAATTCATAAGGAAACTTCTGTTTTATGTGCACTCATATCACAAATTATGCTGCTGAAAATCACTTACGCAAGTCAGGATATGGTGTTCCTGGTTCCACAGGAGGTGCAGATGGGGAGGCTATGATGGCCTCATTAAATGACGGTGGTAGTGGTGGCGATGGAGGATACCCAACTTGAGGTAAAGCAGGAATGCAGGGGAAAACGGGAGGTAATGGAACAATTGATGGAAAATAATTTTTGAGAGGTATTGTACCAATTATCACTTCTGTATTTAACTTCATAGCATTGTGAAGGCCACTGAAGGAACCTTTAACCTGAAATAAAACAATTTTTTTGAATTTAAATTATTTTATTACATATAAAAAAAATTTCAATTAGAGAAGTGTGTTTGGTGTGGTGGTACTGTTCTGACACCAACAAATGTTTTCATTCACTACACAAAAATCGACAACTCTTGGCCGAACAAAAGATGAACACAAAAGTGATAGTGAAGCAGCCTTTAGGTGGTGGAAACCTTCCCACCCCAGGTCTCATCACCACTGTCGCAGTGGCAGACACTCACCACCTCTCTCTTTTTGAGTTTTCATGTGCATTACCCCATAATGACATATGGTACTTCTTTCTCTTTGAATAGCCCTGATATTTGAAAAATATTGAATGGAACAATTTTTTTCCTAGAGACCCAAATTACTCATTCATTTTGGTTGGGTTTCATATTTTTTCTGAGGTTTTGAAGTTTTTGTGTTAATTAACCCACAAGAATATATGTTATGTCTTGGTACAGCTCTGTTATTTGGAAAATGATGGCTAGAACAAATTTTTCCCTAGAACCTAAAATTAGCCATTAAGTTTGGATGCATTTTAGTTGTCTTATAATGATAGGAAGTTGTCATTTCTAGGTGGTCACTGCTAGATTTACATTGAAGCTAGAAGCACCCACAACTTTGAGATATAAAAAAAAACTAAATTTTTGGAATACAGTTCTTAATTAGTCTTAAATTTTGGATGTGATTTGATTGAGTTTGGTTTTCAACCACTGACCCTCATGAAAACAACCAATAGAATTGATAAAAGACCTATGTCGAGGATACCCAGACTCGATATTAGAGGAAGAGTGTTGCAAATATGAATCCGGTGTATGATAAACTGTTTATTTTTTTAGATATGTCATTTTCATGATGGAATGACTAAGAAAAGAAAGAAATTTTAAGTTGTAGGTGCTCTACTGAATCTCTAGAAATATCTGATGTAAAAAAAATTAAACATTCAGGAAAAAACGACATTATTTCGAACAGTACTGGTTTAAAGAATTGACATGATTGTGTTCTCCTCCAACTTTCTAGAAAATGTTTCGTTGGAGATGCTTGATTTTTAGCAATAAAAGCACTGTTTGGAACAGAAAAAGATTTGCTGCTCTGTTGAATTTAACTTTATTGTTTCATAACCCTCGGATTCAGCAGAACATATAAAATGCTAGGTTAATTTAAAAACTTTTCAAAGAAACCAAAAAACTTTGAAGGACCGAAGAATCAATTTGATGTTCAAGAAATAACTGATTTCAATTATTAAAATAACTGTGCATAGATTTATATTTCCTTTACTAGCTCTTCACCTAACTTCACAACCATGAACCATCACTGATAATCTCATTAATCTATCCTCACGCTAGGCAATAACTTTTACATGGCAAAATAAACCCATTAATGAACCACCCCTATGAATCAACAAATTCTAAAGACAAATTCTTAGGACTGACTGATTATTGACCAAAAACTACTGTACAGAAAAAGTTACAGAAAAAAAAACTTTCAAATGCACTGATGCCACTTTTTATCCACATAAATTTTGACAAGAAGACAAAGTGTTCACTTATAATACTTATCAAGCAAACAGTCACATATTTCTGCGAGACTTGGGGAATGACATTCCAGACAAACTACCTAAGACTATCAAGACTAGACAACAGAAAAATTTCAATTAGTTTTAAATCAAAACCCAACCAATACTACTTGACAATCAAACAAGGCAAATACATGAATCTTCTGACAACTAAAGTTCACATGGCATCCAAAAATAAATTTAAAAAAATAAATTAGGAAAACAATGTCAACCCAACCTTTAAAGATTTCATGAAACCACACTTGTCCTTTCAAAACAGAACTCTACCCCCAAAGAAGAAAGCATCCACTAGACATCTTCACCCCCCCCCCC